GGGCAGCCAGTGGATGGAGGGGTGGGGCAGCCAGTGGATGGAGGGGGTAGGGCAGCCAGTGGATGGAGGGGTGGGGCAGCCAGTCTGCTGCACGGCAGGTCACAGGGCCCAGGTGTCCAGTTCCTGCCTACAGTGGCCCAGTGACACTCAGGGCCCGGCCACCCCAGGCCCAGGCAGGACCCGTCCGTCCCCATAGCAAGCTGGGTCACATGGCCCTGAGTTGAGGCCTCCACCTACACCCACCTGCCTCAGTCCCTGAGAGCCTTGCTCCCTGACTTGCCTGCTGCATCTTGGGGGTCTCAGTCGAGGGACCCTCTGATAGGCCTAGGAAGGCCCCAAGGGCCCCTGGCAGGGGACATAGGAGAAGGGGGTGGAGGAGCAGAGCCCGGGCTTCTGGCCCGTGGCAGGGATCCTACCTGGTACACGACCTGAGCGCTGTGGCCTCTGGTCCTGACGTGGGCACAGGGCTCCCAGCAAGCGGCTGTGGGAGGAGGCAGCCGTGAGCATAGGTGGCTGGGTCCTGCCTGACGTGGCTCTCCCCAAAGGGCAGTCCCCTGCGGAGCTGGGGGCCCAGGTTCGGCCGCTGTTTCTCCTGAGGCTCACACTGCCCCCTTGTCCTCAGTGTGGTGACTGCTTTCGCTCCGTTCCCTGACCTCTGCTAAAACGGGCTCTTACTGTGCGGATGTGGGATTAGCACGGTGATTCCTGCTGGATTACAGACCCCAGAGCTAGAGTAAAACCTCAGAGATGGAAGCCAACCATCCCTTACTGGTGGACCAGACACTCCGACTGCAACCGTGGACACGGTGGGTTAGTGACAGAAACACCTGGTCCTGGGTGATGTTGGGTGATGCTGGGTGTTGTTGGGTGACTGCAGGTGATGCTGGGTGGCATTGGGAGGCCCTGGGTACCTGCAGGTGATGCTGGATGGCACTGGGTGACTGCAGGTGATGCTGGGTGGCATTGGGAGGCCCTGAGTGATCCTGGGTGGCACTGGGTGATGCCGTATGGCACTGGGTGACTGCAGGTGATGCTGGATGGCGCTGGGTGACTGCAGGTGATGCTGGGTGGCGCTGGGAGGCCCTGGGTGATGCTGGGTGGCGTTGGGAGGCCCTGGGAGATGCTGGGTGGCCCTGGGTGATGCTATATGGCACTGGGTGACTGCAGGTGATGCTGTTGGTGGCACTGGGTGACCGAGCCCGCGGGCTGGTCCCATCTGACCTCATCACATCTGCTGTCAAGGCCATGGGAACACTCAAGAGACCAGCAGAGCTGAGGTCCCCTTTCTGGGGCACTAAGGAAGCTTTCAGAGCCTCACACACAGGGGCTGAGCAGGAAGCATCCTCCAGGACAGAATGCCACATCCTGGGCCTGCTGGACACGTGGTCCTAGAAGACTCTGGGAATGGCTCTGTCTTCTCACTCCTACTCAACTGAGCGAAAAAGACACCGCTCTAACCCAGGCTTCCTGATGGGAGGGAAGCTGGTAGGTGGGGGCTTCCCAGGAGTGGAGGGGCTGCTAAACAGTGAGGAGGCTTCCTGGGAGTTGGGGGCTTCTTAGGAGTCCATGGGGCTTCCTAAGAGTGGGGGGGGTTCCTAAGAGTTGGGGGGTCTCTAGGAGTTCAGGGGGCATCTTAGGAGTGGGGGAGCTTCCTAAGAGTCAGGGAGTTCTCTAGGAATCCAGGGGGCTTCCTAGGAGTGAGGGGCTTCTTAGAAGTGGGGGATTTCCTAGAAGTGTGGGAGGCTTCCTAGGAGTTGAAGGGCAGCCTAGGAGTGGGGGGCTTCCTATGTGTTGGGGTGAGGTCCCTGGGAGGGAAGGGTGTTTCCTAGGAGTGGGGAGTCTTCCTAGGAGTTGGGGGGCTTCCTACGTGTTGGGGTTCTTCCTATGTGTGGGGGTGGGCTTCCTAGGAGTGGGAGGGGCTCCTGAGATGGACTTCCAAGAAAGCTCGAGGACCTGGGCTCATCTGCACCCAGAGGACCCACTGCTCCTGTGTCTATCCCAGCCTGCGGCTGCCCCTTTGCTGGGGACAAGGGACTCGGGTATGGCAGGCTGCAGGCAGCTCCTCCCTGCCTCCTCTGTTTTTCCCGGCAGGTTCTGGCACATTTTTCCGGATGAAAGTCACAGGCAGCTCCGCCCCTCACGGTCTGGCCCCTGGAGGGCAGGTCAGGGCATTGCCGCTGGGTGCCTGGGCATCCCCCTTGGGCCCACTGGTCCTTGGCTGTCATGTGTGCCAGGGCGGCTGCCACTGGTCCTGGGGCCGGAGGACGGCGCCTTCTCCGGGAGCCCCTGGACCCCTGAGGGCGGGTCCACAAGCATCTCTCTGGATTCCCTGAGCCGGGAGTCTGCCTCGATGCCTGCCGTGTGGGAGCTGCCGTGGCTGTCGGTGGAGTGGAGTGAGAGGTGGTGGGGGCAGTGCTGGCTGCTGTCCCCACTGTCCCTGCTGCCCCCGCTGCCCGGGGAGCCCCTGCTGGATGGGTCCAGGTCCGGCTCCAGCCCATCGCTGATGTACGACTCCCGGTAGCGCTGCTTCTCTGCGGGGAGCGGGGACGGCAGTGAGGGCGGCTGGAGAGGGACCCTACCCGCTGACGCAGGAGGAAGAGCCCAGGAGGCAGAAACGCACGCGCAGGGCTGGGTGAGGACTTGGAGCGGGGTGGGAGACCGGGCCTGTGGGTAAACGCTGAGCCAGGCCTTGTCGGAACCTGCACTTCTTGCTCTTTGTGGGCACATGGTGGGAGGAGCAGTGGAACCTCAGGCGGCTCTGAGAGCCGTCCTCCTCCCCCGCCCCGTCTACACAATCCTACTCTGGGTAGAGCTGGGGGCACCACCCGCCCTTTGACCTGAGCATCTGGAGAACGCGGGAGCCAGGAGGCCTCACACAGCGCAGAGGAGACAGAAGGCGCAGCCCTGCCTGGAGCCCAGCGCCCACGCAGCCCCACCTTCTGCCTCCTCCCGCCGCCGCAGCACGTGTAGCGCAGGCCGCATGCGGAGCTGGAGCTGGTGGCTGGTGCGCAGCAGGTGCAGCAGGTGCCGTGAGCGCCGCAGCCCGTGTAATAAACCAGCTTCCGCGCCGCGGGCAGCCCGTCCGGCCAGATCTCCAGCTTCTTCCCCTGAACACAGGAGAGAAGGTGCCACTCCACAGGCTGAAAACCGCGCTAGCAACAGGAAAGGACGATGTTCAATGTCAGCCACGGCCCCCAGGGGGACGAGGCCGAGGTTTTCACGTTGCCGTGCTCAGGGCGAGCTCGGCCCTGCCCTTGCTGGGGAGGACGCGGCCCTCCTGGCTAGGAAGTGCCTGCAGCTGCGTGAGGGGGGTGGGGCTCCAGGGTGGGACGAGAAGACCTGGGTCTGGATGTCCAGGGCAAGCCTGCTGCCCAGCGGCCCCCACAGTCACTGCCCTTTCCTCCCTGTCACCCAGGCTGCGGGTGGCCCTGGTGACTGCTCTGGGGTCAGGACGAGAGAAACAGAGGCCATGCAGGTACATGTCTACCACCTGCTCTTATTTTCTCTCCCTTGGTTTTCTCAATTGGGAGCCAGTTTTCCAGCAATAACAACTAGACCTCAGCTGGCAGCTAAACACCCAATGCCTTCAGGGCTGGGCTAGACGCAGAGCCCGTGGGACCAGGCCAGCCTGATGGCCCCAAGAGGTGGGGTCTTGCGGCACTGAGAGGCTGGCAGGAAGCAACCTGCACCTCGTGGGGATAAAATGCCCAGGAAATGCCCTCAAGATGAAGCTGCATGGCCCACACTCTCCAGGGCATGGAGATCCCCCCAGACACCCACCAGAAATGCCAGCTTCCCGACGTGGGGCCGGGGGAAGTCGTACAGCAGCTGTGGAACTCGGTTCACCTCCTGCAGGACAGCAGGGGCCGGGCGTCCAGGCGGGGCCAGCCAGCACCCGTGACCGCTGCAGGGAGGCTACACAGCCCAGCCCCCCATGGGGAAGGGAGAAGGGGTGGGGGCAGGAGCAGGGGCTCTGTGAGGCTGAAACCCCTCCCGTCAGCTGGTAGATGTGCACTCCCCTGAGGGTCAGTCCCAGGATCACGGTGGAGCAAACTTCCTCCTTATCCTAAAGGACACAGGTCAGAGGTCAAGGCCCGGGCCTGGGGGTGCTGGGTCTCACTGATGGCGGAGTGTGCTCAGTCTGCCCAGGGGCCAAGGCCTCCATGGAGCAGGCTGAGCTCGGGCCCATTTAGAGTCTGATTCACTCCAGTATCAGACCAAACCACCCTGTCAGCACAAGCATGCCTTTGATCAGGCTAAACAAACATCAGCTGTGACCTAAGAGAGCCCTTCCAAGCCGGCCCTGGGGTCCTGGTGACACTATCAGCTTGGGGAGCTCTGGCCACGCCTGCCCTGGGGTCCTGGTTCCCACTGTTAGCCATGGGGGCTCCGTCTATCCCTGGCCTGGGGTCCTGATCGCCCTGTCAGCTTGAGGGGAGGCTCCGTCCATCTCTGGCCTGGGGTCCTGATCCCACTGTCAGCTTGAGGGGGGGCTCCGTCCATCCCTGGCCTGGGTTCCTGATCCCACTGTCAGCTTGGGAGGGCTCCATCCAACCCTCTGGCCTGGGGTCCTGATCCCACTGTCAGCTTGAGGGGCTCCATCCGTCCCTGGCCTGGAGTCAGAGTCCAGCCCCGTCACTGGCCGCCCTGCACTCGACCTTGTACAGCCTGAAGAAGTGCACGGGCACGTCCTCCAGCCGGCAGGCCTCTTGGATGGAGCGCAGCATGGCCTGCTTGGGGCTCAGGCCCTGGCGCTCGCAGAGCAGGGCGGGCATATGCCGAAAGATGTAGTCAATCCCCCTCTTGGTGATGATCTGAGGACAGAGCTGGGAGGTGAGTTCAGATCCCTAATGGCCCCCCTTCCTCCTGGCCAGACCCCTGCTCCAAGAAGCCTCCCCAGCCTGCCGGGAGGTGAGCTCAGACCTCTGCTGGCCTGCTTTCCTCCTCACCGGTTGCCTGCTCTGAGAAGCCTCCCCAACCTCCTGCAGCTGGTGCCGACCTCAGCGGGCAGGGCCAGGGCCTGGCTGTTGAGCCTGGACCCAGGGACGAAGTCTCGGTGCCCGCTCTACTCTTGGCCTGTCTGACTCCCTGTCCCGCCTGGGTCCCCCTCAGGGCGAATGGCAACAGCCAGCCCTCCTCAGACTTCTGCAGGGGCACTCCACACCCGACGAGGCCTGGCTCCTGGGAACTTGCCCAATGAGGATCAGCTGCGCCCACCACCTGACACTGGGGTCAGATCCTGAGACATGCAATCAAGGATCGTGCAAGTGTGCCAGAGGCCAGGGGCATATGTGACGTCCACAGTGCCTGGAGGAAGCCTGGCTGGGCCCCATGCTGGCCTCAGCGATCTCCATTCAGAGCAAACAGGAGAAGGCCCCAAGGTGCCCAGGACAGAGGAGAGGTGCGCTGCAATGAACCGTCAAGGAGAGAAACCTCCGAGTTCACCGGCACCAGCCTGCATTCCTGGAGTGACGGCCATCCACCCGCACGGCCATCAGGCCCCCTCCTCCCGGGAATGGCACCGGTTCCCTTACAGGCGAAGAAGCTGAGGCTCAGAGGCTCCTATGGGTCACCGGATACTTGGGGAGGCAGATTCCACAGCCAGGCAGCCGAGGGCTCAGAGAGGTGAAGCCACGCGAGCAAGGCCACACAGCTGGCTGGGGGCACAGGCATCCAGACCAGCCTGCTCCCGGCCAGTCCTCCCACACCGCCGGCTTTGGGGATGGGCAGGCCCCTTGGGCCTTCAGGAGGAAAGGACAGATGGCTTCCCCGTTTCCATGCCCTGGCCCTTCCTCCAGCTGCTCCTGCCAGGCCCCCAGCCCCTGTTCCTGTGGATGGACCTGGTGGAGGTGGACAGCGCCAGGCTAGCAGTGCTGGGAGGCTGTGGCCCCAACCTTACCCACTGTGGGAAGTAGGAGTGTGGCTCAAAGTACCTCCCGGCATGGGCCGGTGCCCAGTGCTCGCCCAGGTCAGCCTGCAGCGCACAGGTGGCCAGCAGGAAGTAGGCCTCCTCCTGGTGGGCGCACTGGGACCGAAGCACACGCTCCTTCAGGTGGCAGTAGTACAGGTGCCGTGCCCGGGGGTCGCTGGAAGGCAGCAGGGAGTGAGTGTGGGGACTGTCAGCCCCTGTGGCCCTGCCTTGTCCCTCCCCATGCCAGCTCCTGGGGTCGATCTGAGCCCCTGGCACCTTGTTCCTATCTTGTGACATCCACAGCCGTGTCCCTGCAGGGCCAGCTTGGCACAGGCCCACACTCTTCCTGGAGCGGGGCGCAGGTGACTTACTGCCACCAAGGAGCCCTCCACCCAGCAGCCTCCAGAAGCCTCACCCAAGGCCTGCATATGGCATCCCCACCCTACAGAGGACAAGTCCCGCGTTTGAAGAAGTGCCACTTTATGACACAGTCTGTATGCATTTCAATTAAATGGAATTCCTGTGCTCCCCTAAACAGCCAATAGAGTGGGTTGTTTGTATTTGTTTTTGTTTTTTAGTATAAACTCAAATGTATTGTGTGGCCTTCATAGGACTTCTGTTCACGTGGCAGATTTTCAACATTCCAGGAAAGCAAGTCAGCGCGGTCACCTCCTTCCGTTTTCCACGTAGTGCCGCACTCGGAGGAAGGCCACGAAGGGCGCTCTGCATTTCTTGCTTCCCTGGTGGGGAAAATACAAGAAAACGCAAGAGCCACAGCGAGGTGCCCTCGCTGTCCTGTCTTCCCAGTGTGGGGGTCTGGGATTGGTGCACGCCCAGCTCAAAGCCGAAGCTCAGGCATCCGCAGCCACAGCTGACATCTCCTGACTCACGGTATTTACTAACAGGAAAACTCTATGTGCAGACAGGCTCTACGGCGTTCAAGAACATCTGCGAAGGCGAGATCAGCGTGGGCTCACCTGCCTGCACCCTCGGGGCTCACTGCAGTCCCCCTGCACATGGCCCCTCTGGATGGAGCAGGTGCATGGACATGAGGCAGCACATCCCCACGGCCCAGCACACCCCACCACGGTGCTCTCTCCCACGCCACACATCCCTGTGGTGCAGCACAGCCCACCACGGTTCCTTCTCCCACCCCACGCGTCCCCGAGGCCCAGCACAGCCCACCATGGTGCCCTGCCTCTCCCACCCGACGCTCCAAACTTACTTGATACCTTTCTCTCTTCCAGTCTTTTGGGAAGTACTTGCTGAGCTTTTGCTCCAGATCCATAAATAGATACTCATTGTCTGAAAACAAAACAAAGGCTTCATCAGAGCGGTCACCACACTTCCCAGGTGTCACTGTCTGTCCAAACCCCAGTGTGGCTTCCAGAGGAGATGCGCAGCTGAAAGTCACCTCCAGCTGATGCCGCGGACGGGGCTCTCCTCCAGCTGATGCCGCGGACGGGGCTCTCCTCCAGCTGATGCCGTGGACCAGGCTCTCCTCCAGCTGATGCTGCGGACGGGGCTTTCCTAAGCTGACAGCGCAACAAGCATCGTCACACATGAACAGGTGTCAAATTTACTAAAACGGTTTTCCAACGTGCAGGAATGTTCAAAACTGGCAATGCTCCGGGCATACCCTTTGGGAAAGCAATGTAGCAACATCTATCCCCACCCCCTTCCTCTGCAACCGAGGTGCCCTCTCAGCCGCGGAGTAAATCGCTTACAAACTAGAGCTGTCGGGGTTGGATGTGGCGGCTCAAGCTGGTCATCTCAGCGATTTGGGAGGCCGAGGGAGGAGGATTGCCTGAGGCCAGGAATTCAAGACCAGCCTGGACAACATGAGACCTCATCACCACAGAAAGAAACATTGGCTGGGTGTGCTGGGGCATGCCTGTAGTTACAGCCTCCGGAGGCCGAGGCAGCAAGACTGCTTGAACCTGGGAGTTCAAGGCTGCAGTGAGCTGTGAACGTGCCGCTGCACTCCAGGGTGGGTGAGGGCAGTGAGGCCCTGCCTCAGTCAATCAGTAAAAATAGACACGTCTCTAATCCAGCACCGACTGATCAGCTTCGAGTCAACTACCCCAGCTTTATCTGTTAACCTGGTTTCCCTGGAAACTACAAGAGATGCTTCTTTCTAAATTATGTGTTTCTATGTTTTTAAAAATATTTACCACCATGTGTTTCTTTATAGCCTGGAAAAGTTAAACAATTATCCTAGAGAGGAAAATAACAGAAGCATCCTCTGCTGCTGTGGAGGCCAGGGCCTAGGACTGAGGTGACCGGCACGTCCCCAAAATAAACTCGAGAGGGAAGTCACTGCCCGCAGGAGCCCGGGCCGCTGCTGGCCGCAGCAGTGGGTGCCGTGGGACCAGGCCGGCCGTGCAGGCTATTCCCAAAACTTTCACCTTATTCTGTGGCCACCGACCGCTCCAGTTATGGCTGCCACCTCACAGACACCTCCCTGGTGACAAGCCTACCAGCAAAACCTGAAACATCATCCTGGGCTCCTGTGTCAGGGTCCCCAGGTGGAGACAGGGCTGGGGCCGGGGCTGGCAATGCCTGGGGAAGCTACCGGGGGGCCTAGGGTGACGGGCAGGGCCCACCTGAACATGGCCTTTCAGGGCCACCGAGGTCAGCCCAGGCTCTGCCCAGCCTGTCGCCCTCACGGTCAGGGCCCGATGGTCCTGAGAGGCGAGGTGTGTTGGGGGACATGGGGGTCCAGGGAGCTCACTGTGTTCCAGGCTGAGCAGAGGACCTGGCGTTGACCTTGCTATGAGCGGAATCACGCTCCCCAGAGGCATATGCACAAGTTCTGACCTAGCACCTCAGTTCCTGTGTTTTGAGAGAGGGCTTTTACGGAAGAAGTTGTTGAGTGGAAATGAAGTCATGTGGGTGGGCCTTCATCCAGGCAGATCGGATCCTCACAGAGAAATGGAGACTGCACCCAGAGGGGCACACACAGAGGGACAGCCATGTGACCACACAGGGGAGCAGCTGTTGGTAGGCCCAGGGGAGAGGCCTTGGGAGGGATCAGCTGTGAGGCACCTTGGCCTTGGATTCCAGCCTCTGGAACTGACACAATCGTGTGTGGTTTAAGCCACCCTATCCGTGGCAGCCTCGTGGCTCAGAGTCAGGTAGGAGGGAGGAGTTGACGCGGTGAGGGAGTGGGACTCCGATACTGGACCAAATTGAGCACCAACTAAAACAGGGACAGGGAAAGCGGCTTCCCATGAGACAAGCCCACCGGCCTGCAGGTGAGTTTTCCGTTGCCATGGCAACACTGGGAGGTACCGCCCCTTTCCGTGGCAACAACCTGACCACCCCAGAGTTACCACCCTTTTCTAGAAACAGCTGCATAATCTCCCCTGTAGTTTCCGTGTAAGTAGACGTGGGTGTGGGTGTGAGTGACCCCGCCTCTGAGCTGCTGCTCGCGTGGCCTATGGGGAGCCCGGCTCTGCCCGGAGCTGTGCCTCTGCTGCTGCTGGGCACCGACGCTTCCGTAAGAGCTGCTGCCTAATGCCACTGGCTTGCCCCTGAATTCTTTCCTGGGTGAAGCCCAGAACCTCCCAGGCTAAGGCCCAACTTGGGGTTTGCCTACCCTCATCAAGAGGACCCTATGGCAGTGGGGACCCTGCCGGTCTCAGCAGGGCTCACAGCCTGCAATGTCAGTGTAGGTGTCCCCGGGCTCCACACGGCACGATTTGGAGCTGAGGCCTTGAGGTGTCGTGATTCCCCCAAGGTCCTCACCCGGCTGCTGGCTCCAGGGCCCAGGGCTGACTGTGTCCCTGCGCAGGTCACCCCCTGGCTCAGGCCTTGCTTTCCTGCCTGAGGGACCAGACCATGGGATGTGATTCAGTGCTGGAAACTGAGGAAACTGGAGGAAGCTCAGACGCAGAGCAAGTGCCGAAAGCCACCCCGAGGAGGTGCATGCGGTGTGGCTGTGCCATGTGACACGCTGACGGGGCTCCGCCGTGACGCCAGTGGCTGGTGCCATGGGTCAGCCTTCGAGGGGGAGGAGGAGGAGCAGGCGGAGCACAGGACTTTCAGGACAGGGAGGCTCTTCTCTATGACACCTGAAGGTGACAGACACCTGACATTTCACATTTGTGCAAACCCAGAGGATGCGCCACAGCAGGAGAGTGCCCCACGCCTACCCGACCCCAGCCTGTGAGACCCCAGTCACCCGGGCTCCTCAGCGGGCAGACGCGCTGCCCTGGGGAGATGCTGGCAGCACAGGAGGCTGTGAGTGCAGAGAGGTCTGTGTGGGAAATCTCTGGCCCTTCCTCCCAATTTTGTGTGAACCAAAACTGCTCTAAGAAATAAAGTCTTAAAATCCTAGTATCTCTTTCGAGTCTGAGATTCAAGGCTCCACAGGGAGAAAAAATAAACCTGTGACTCAATCACAAAAGTCTTAATTTGTAGCAAACATGACCCACCCGGCCGGCACCAGGCTGCCATGAGCACCCACCAGAGAGACAGGGGCTTTGGGAAGGTAAGGCGTTCTTCTTTCTAGAATACGCTGAGACTGTCCTCACACCAGCACTCCCAGGACCCAGGGCTGTGGACTGTGGGCAGTGGGCAGTGGAGAGGGGCAGGCACAGTTTCCACCCGGTCAGGAGTCAAATCACCCGGCTTCCTTCCTTGTGCAGTGTCGGGGTAGGGCAGGGGTCCCTCATGCTGCGGGGCCCAGGGACCTGGTCAAATGAGGTGGACGCAGGGTCCCCAGCAGACCCTGAACAGCAAGACCCCTGGAGACCAAGACAGCCACTCTCATAGTCACCACCCTCCTTGGGCAGAACCTGGTGCAGGAGGCAGCCCTGTGGGCAGCCACCAGAGAGCAGGTGACTGTTGCAAAAGGTACTTCTGGTAGTTCAACCTCACAGGTGACGTGGAACAACGTACAGTTCCCCCGGGTCTGCTGAGGATTGGTTCCAGGATGCCCCTTGGATGTCAAAACCCAGGGATGGTGTAGAGTTTGCGTGTACCCTACACACATCCCTGTGTACACCTCAAACGATCCCGAGATTCCTTATAATACCTGATGCAATGTAAATGCTGTAGAAATCGTTGTTATACTGTGTTGCTAAAGTTGTATTATTTTTTTCTTTTCTTTTTTTTTTTTTTTTTTTTTGAGATGGAGTCTCGCTCTGTTGCCCAGGCTGGGGTGCAGTGATACGATCTTAGCTCACTGCAACCTCTGCCTCCTAGATTCAAGCAATTCTCCTGCCTCAGCCTCCTGTGTAGCTGGGATTACAGGTGTGTGCCACCACTCCCAGCTATTTTTTTTTGTATTTTTAGTAGAGACAGGGTTTCAATATGTTGGTCAGGCTGATCTCGAACTCCTGATCTCATGATCTGCCCGCCTCAGCCTCCCAAAGTGCTGGGATACAGGCGCCAGCCACCAACCTGGCCTGGCTGTGTTATTTTTATCATACTCTTTATTGTTACTATTTTGAGTATGTTCAACATGAGGTTAGTTAAATCCGAGGATGGGCAACCTGTGGATACAGAGCGCCAACTGTCTACTCTTATTTATATTAGAAAATCTGCAGTCCGGAGAATATAAGTCAGCCACAGGGAGGGTCAGTCTCAGATTCCCTTACAGCCACCTACATCACATGTGATGATACTCCGTCCGCAAGTGCTAGCTCGTTCTGGAGATACATGAAGACACCAGTGAGGAAGACTCACCTACAGAGGCTGGCAGAAGGGCATCCTAGGGCCAGGTGCCCAGCTCAGCCCCTCTCCGCCCTGCCTGTCTTTCTTTCTTCCTTTCCTTTTTTTTTTTAAGATGGAGTCTCGCTCTGTCACCAGTTTGGAGTGCAGTGGCACGATCTCAGCTCACTGCAGCCTCTGCCTCCCCGGTTCAAGCGATTCTCCTGCCTCAGCCTACCAAGTAGCTGGGATTACAGGCACCCACCACCATGCCCGGCTAATTTTTTGTATTTTTAGTAGAGGTGGGGTTTCACTGTGTTAGCCAGGATGGTCTTGCTCTCCTGACCTCATGATCGCCCGCCTCTGCTTCCCAAAGTCTTGGGATTATAGGCATGAGCCACTGCTCCCGGCCCCTGGCTGTCTTTCTAATCCTTAGATTAGAAAGCTCTTTTAGGCAGCATTAGACGCAGGGGGGAGGTTCCAGGGTGTCACCGGCCTCAGTTCCCTTTTGTGTCAGGGAGGATCTAACACTCACCCTCGTCAGTAACAACAGCAGCAACTCGCTGCTTGGACACTGCATGCCACGTTCTGTGCTGAAGACTCTGAGTCGATCCCTGTGTCTTTAACGTGATGGCTCTGTTATCTAC